TCACTGGATGTTGCATTGTTACTTGTGTTGTGGAGGTGATGGCATTTCTGATACCCTGAACCTTGTCTCTGAAGAACTGTGCAAACTCATTACACCTGGATTTGGAGTAGTGTTCTAATGGCAACTCAACAGGGGGGTTCGTTAATCTATTGATTGTTGAAAATAGAACACGCAGATTGTTGCTGCAGCCTTCAATAGTTTCAGAAAAGTACAATTCTCTTGTTCTACGTAGTACTCTGTTAAACTCACACAACTTCTCTTTTAAGAGTCTATAATCACCCTGGAGGTTGGACTTTCTCCACTTTCTCTCTGCTCTCCGGCACTCTTGCTTCTGTGCCCTGACCGGGCCTGCTTTTATCCATGGGGCTTTTTGCTTATTTGTGACCATTTTTACCTTCACAGGGGCAATGGCGTCCAGAACATTCAACACACTAGAGGTGACAGAGTTAAACAGTTCATCTACAGTAGAACATGATGTGTTCTCAAAATGGATCATTCCCATAAATAGTTCACCCGTGTTTTCATTTAAGTGTCTACTTCTAACAATTTCATATTTAGCGGGTGGTCTGGTAGCAAAACACATGTTAAAAAATACACAGAAATGATCCGACAGAGCAACATCAACTACATTAACTTTTGAAATATTCACCCCTTTCGTGATAAGCAGGTCCAAGGTGTGTCCTCTGCTATGGGTGGGGCCACTCACATGCTGAGTGAGGCCAAAGGATTCAAGTATGGAACTCAGCTCTTTTGCGTATCTGTCATTAACATTATCCACATGAATATTAAAATCGCCTATAATGACTAAACCATCAAAATCTGTGCACACAACTGAAAGCAACTCAGTGAAATGATCAGTGAAACTATGGCATGACTGTGGCGGCTTGTACACAACAATAATAAGAATGGAAGAAGATTTCTTTTGTTCTATTTTAAAAGAAACATACTCAAATGATGAAAATTTCCCAAGAGACACTCTATGGGAGACAATACGATCTTTAAAAACTGCTGCTATGCCCCCCCCCCTTTTATTTTCTCGTGTTTCATATTCAAATTTGAAATTTGGTGGTGAGGCTTCTATTAAAACTGCATCTCCTGTATTATGGTCAAGCCATGTTTCAGTCATAAACATAAAATCAAGATCATACGAACAGATAAAATTATTAATTAAAAATGATTTGTTGCATAGTGATCTGACATTAAGTAGAGCAAGGTTAAAATTAATATCAGTGTCAGTGGGTTTAGTTGATTGATTACAAAGAACTGGAATTAGATTTCCAGAGTTGGACCGTCTAACTGCTGTCCTTCTTTTAAATTTGTGTTTATTCAAGTTAAAACACATTTCTGAGCTGGTGCGAGGAACACACACAGTCTCTATTGGTTTAAAAAGTGAACTCTGTTGTACTTTGTTAAGTTCCAGATGCATAACTGAGTCAGCACAGTTCAGTGGCAGGACTGTCGTTACACTGCCAGACGGACAGGGGTCAGTGTTTGCACCACAGTACTCACCCGGTGCTGGTAAGGAAGAGGAGGGGGGTGGTGGGGGCCGAGAAGCCTCAGATGTAAACAGTCACGCCCCCCTCGGGGAGCACTGAACAACATGGCGCAGGAAGTCCGTCAACAAACTGGTGCCGTATCTGTTCGGGTGCAGACCGTCTGGACGATAAGCCACGTGACGCTTCCAGAACAGGCCAAAGTTGTTCACAAAAACAAAGTTAAAAGTGCTGCATGTAGACTGGAGCCACATATTCAGCGCCACAACGCGACTGTACAAGCAGTCTCCCCGGTTTACAGTCGGGACTGGACCAGAGATAAAAACACACAACCCGGAGGACTGGAGGAGGCGGAACAGATTCATAAAGTGCTTCTTTGTGACCTCTGACTGCTGCAGCTTCATATCATTTATACCCACATGCACGATTACCTTGGATATGGTATCAGGCAGGGAGTGAAGCAGAGGAGGGAGACGGATGAGCAGATCTGGGACTGTAACTCCGGTAATGCAGTGAGTGACCGCGTTAAAAAAGCGGACGTGCCTCACGATGGAATCTCCAACGATCAGAGTAGTCGGGGCGAAAAGTGGACGCGGCCGCGGAGAAGGCGCTCGGTGTCCATGGCCAGAACCAGCGGGCTCATCCAGGGATGGGTCCAAACCAGGGCGCTGCTGAACACATGGAGGGGAGCGGGGGTGTTGATTCCCAGCTCCGGGCAACCCACGCTGTGTGCACGGAGACGCTGGAGCAGCGAGAGGAGCAGGCTCGGGTCGCTGCTGCTGACCCGGTGAAGGTGCACTGGGGTCAGAGAAGGGGAATGACCACTCTTTCGTCTGAGGACAGCTTCCTTTAAGAGTGTCTTTCTCGCAGTGGACCTGGATCCACGGACAGCAGTAGAGTTTGCTGCAGAGTCCAGGGGTTCTGCTGAGGGGGCTGGGATGTCAGCGGAGAGGGCTGCATAGCGGTTTGAAAGGCTCAGGACATGGGCCACGGCGCTGGATGGCTCCTCGCAGTCCGCAGGCTCTTTATTCCGAACCGGGCACTTAGGTGTAGAACAAGAGGGTCCAGAGCTGACAGATCTCTCCCACACGACAGTGTCACAGTATGCAGCGCTCAGTGACATAAGCCGTGAGTGCTGCCCGCCAGCGACATCAAAAAGTTTGGACACGAGTGACTGTTTATCCTGCAGCTCTGCAGTGAGGCGAAGGACTTCTTTACGGAGGTCTGCAATAGTGGCACGGTCCCTCTCACGAAGCTCCAATGTGAGGCGACTAATGTCGTTCGTGGTCATTGCAGTGTCACTTTCCATGTCTGTGGTGCGCTCGTGGTAGCCTCCGAGCTAGCGCGTTTCGATTGGGTCTTTGTGTTAAAAGACGTGATGCTCTGGAACCATTGCATTTAAGATAATAAAACACTAGAGTGTACAAAAGACACTAATACACCGTAAAAACGTGTTTAAAAGGCTTTAAAAGGCTTAAAAGGGTAAACAGAGCAGAGACGTCAGTGCAAGGATACACAATAACACAGGTAATACATTCTACACTAAACTGAACAAAAACGGACAATGGATTAAGGGGAAGAAAATATATGGATGGATGGATGGATAACATTGCTTCTTTGTCGAGTGTTGATTGTTGCACCCCTAGTTATATATTATTAATCAAGGAATACAACTATGTGGATAATATAATTTCTACAAGATGTTTTGGGCATTATTGATTATGACGAACCAAATTTCAAGGCTTTTTACTTTATAAATTGACAGCAGCAGAATAATGTAAAATTTTGTTTGGAACATGGCATCAATGTGAACAGTAGGTAATACATTCTACACTAAACTGAACAAAAACGGACAGAAAAAAATCTAGGGAACATCTCTTTATGAATGAATGCAAATATCAAAAGGTTTTTATCCAGCCAACTTCACCTCGCTCCTTTTAAGTGATCAACACAAGTCAAAATGTTAATTGGTTTCTCAGATGCACAATGTGAATCTTTATCAGTATATGATTTCTGTGACTTGTGTTATCTCAACACAAATTGAAAAGTTATGCTTCTAAATAATACACTTTGAACATCTTAAACAGTGTATGAATTTTCTTATTGAAGGTTTTGCAATTATTTTGTGCATAATTATAACAGTTTGACATTTATTTTTACTGTCTCCGTTTGAAACAAGTCTCTCCTTCTTTTTCGTGATGATTTACCGTCGGTGTCTGTGGGCGTAAAAACACACTATGAAAAGTTTATGGTGTCTTACTTTATGGAGGGCAGCAGCTGTGGAGAGACCCCATTCTCTGCAAGTTCAGCACTCAGTATATTAACGCGCACTAGACATCTCATTCACCCCAAAAACGATTTTTTAAAGAGCCTTTGTGTCTGCCATTATGACCTATGCACATGGCACTACTATAGCCTGCAGCCGACTTCTGTGAGCAGGTTTTTCCATAATGGGGCCATTTTGCATCATGAATTTTCAATATTTGGGTTTGCCCTGGTCATGGTTTGTGACTTACGTAGTGGAAGTCTAATAAAATAAAACTATTACACTTTCTGATAATGTAGAGTGAACATGAGATCCTGAGTTTTATAGCCAGCCTGAATCCATATCAATATGAGTCTAGTCTAAGGACCTGCACATACTGCAGTTTCGGATTCAGGTGAGGCAGAAACAAACGCTAAAACAGTGTCTTGCTCTGGAGACATAACTGCAATTCATGTATTTGTTATTTATTTTGCATATCCATCTATATGTGTCTGAAAATTCCAGATAAAGGTGCATTAGCATCTGTAATCCCATGGCGTGTTGACGTTACAGCACCAACAAACAAAACAACAATTACAAAAAGCCGCATACAAACAGGGAAAACCAGAAAAAAGCAGATGCTATAAAAAGCATTAGAATGCATTGAATGTTGACTAATATGTTGTTGATTTTCAAACCATGATTATAACAGTGCTGAGGTCTTGAATTGTTTACCCATGTAGTTGTGTTTGTTCTGTAGCAACTTTGAAACCGCAAACAAATAAAGAGTGTAAGTAAAATAACTGGTCCCTGGCTCTGGTTATATATATGTATTTCATATTTTTTTCAGTGTAACAGAGTACTGGCTCTCACTCAAGCCCTGGTGATCCAAGATGGCGTCCTATTCAAATCAATGGCCTGTGCCTACATGGGGACCGAAAAATTAGCAGAACTCAGCCATATTTGGGCATCGGATAATCCTCCCGGTTCTGTACATAGGACAAGCTCCCTTGATGTTTTGCGCCACATACGCGTGCAGTAGAATAGTTTGTTGCACAAAAGTGTATAAGATTTATAGAAAACCGAAGGATTTAACAAGAAAAAAGCTTCAGGATGACAAGGGACACTAAAATCCCCCCTGTGCTCATAGGTGGGACAGCTATAAGCTAGTAATACCCTATCCAGATATTATTGTCTGAATAGGGTATTACATCCCGAAGACGACTGTGGTGACTCCTTTCAGGCTGTTCAAGTTTCTCAGGATGTCTTTTGGCCTGAAAAACACGGCCCAGTCGTTCCAGAGGCTAATGGGCTCGGCTCATGTGGACATTTCCAGACCATTCGAATTGTCCCAGGCCCCACGCCGTGGAAGCTCCCCAGCACTGTGTTCCTCCCAGCACTGGGATTCCCTCTGCTTGGACAGTGTCATTGTCACCGGGGCCAGTGGTCGGGCCGGCTGTACCCACCACTCCACTCCCCTCAACTCCTGCCACCTGTACTCTTAGTGGTGGGGCCATCATTCCCTTTGGAAGGGGGGCACAGTTTCCAGTTCAGGGTTGTTGTTAGAGGAAAGCACTGAGTCTCACGCGGCTTTGTTGTATGTTTCTTCCCAACTGTTAAATGGCATTACAACGGCTACATCTGTCACTGCTATTTGACACACCAACTCCACTCCTTACGCACCAGAATATAAATAAATTGATTTCAATGTTGAGTTATCATTGAACAATATTGTGCACTGTACATGTGCATAAACATGGGATGAAACACAGTGGATGCCTTTTTTCTGACTTCACCACTTAGGAAGCCTTTAATGCATTAATAACACTCTCATTATAAGGAGAAAAATTACATATGGTTTGTTGTGACTCATCAATCAGGAGACTAAAGAAAATACTAAGAAAAAAGAACTGAACACCAAAGAGCAAGAGGAGCATCAGGTGAGGGACGCATTAGGTCCTGCTTTGCTGCACAGACCTCCTAATGTTTTTCTCTTCTCCTTCGTACCGTCATTACAGCTCAAGCACATTGGCCAACTACGCTTCTATTCATCCATTGTGTATCTGAAGCGTATTGTAATAGTCGGCACAGCTTTATGAAGAGTGGTGTGATGATGCGTGTGCCTTAAGCATCGTCACACACAGAGCGAGGTGACACAGACAGGAGAGGGCTCAGCTCAGTGCTGCTGGGAAATCTCTGGTATGTGGCGCATTCTCCTCGTTATCATGATAATATACTGAGTGTGGTGCTTTGTGTGCCTCTTAAAGGAATAGTTCACCGTTTTTACATACTGACATATGCAGCCCGCGAAAATTCAATTTGGTAGACGTTAACCAAAATTACCCCCTCCAGGCCGGCTGTCATCCCCAGCCTATCGCTCAGCAGACGCCCCCTTCCAATCATCTGTACCGACTCGCAGCCGCATAAAAACGGAGCAACTCCCACTACCGGCCTCCTGAAGCCTCGCAAGCTCCTGCAGCCTCGCAAAGAATCGTTCTGGAGGAATCGCTTTTGTCTACTCACGCTTACTCGTGCGTGTCCCTGCTGTCCTCTGTCTTGCTGCGTGTGGTCTGCTCCTCCTGTGGCTGCACCTGCTGCGGGTCTCGTGCTGTGGTCCGTGGGTCTTTGCCGCTCTCCTCCTTTGCGGGCTCTTTCCGCGGGTTTGCCGCTGCTCGTCTCGTCGCGACCTGCTGCTGCATACGGCCGGTCTAGCCCGGTGCGGTGGGAGCCGTGCGCATCCCTGCCTCCTTGTGCCGGTACGGTGTGGTCCCGTCGTGTTGTCCCTTGTCTTCTGGCGCTGTGGGTAAAGTATGAGATCCGCGGACGGTTTATTCCCTTCGCATTGTACTGCAGGCTCAGTTGGCCCCGTGCTGGTGGGCAGGCTTCAGTTTAAAGCCCTCGCATTGGTCTGCAGGCTCTCTTTAACCAAGCTCCGTTAAATCTTCACTCTGACTGCAAGCTCCGTTTAATCCCTCACATTGGAATGCAAGACCTCAGTTTTAATCCCTCTCATTGGACCGCATGCTCTCAGTTTTAATCCCTCACTTTGGCCTGCAGGCTCTGTTTAAATCCCTCTCTGGACTGCAAGCGCTGTTTAAATCCCTCACATTGGACCGCATGCTCTCAGTTTTAATCCCTCACTTTGGCCTGCAGGCTCTGTTTAAATCCCTCTCTTTGGACTGCAAGCGCTGTTTAAATCCCTCTCGGACTGCGGCTCCCAAAATGAATCCCTTACATTGGTCTGTGAGCTCTCAGGTTAATCCCTCACGGAACTGCTTATATCTGGAAATGCTTATATCTGGAAATGCTTATAGCTGGAAATGCTTATAGCTGGAAATGTTATAGCTGGAAATGCTTATATCTGGAACTACTTATATCTGGAACTGTTGTACCGTATCTGGAACTGCTTCATATGGAACTGCCTATATATGGAACCGCTATATTGGAACTGCTCATATGGTACGGTTATACCTGGAACTGTTATGTAGTACATGGAACTGCATATATGGTACTGCCTATATCTGGAACGCTATATATTAAAAATAAATAAATGAATAAATAAATAAATATAAATAAATAAATATAAATAAATATAAATAAATAAATAAATGAAAAAAAAAAAAAATAGTTTAAACTCCTCACTTGGGTTGCGGGCTCAGTTAATCCCTCACTTGGACCGTAAAAATGTTAAATCATTTGGACCGTAAAAACCTGTTGAAATCCCTCACACTGAACAGCTACAACAACATTCTACTGCCGTGGCTTTGATACAGGATCTTGCTGTTATTATCTACGGACGCTGCAGCTGCTGCTGCTGCTACTGCTGCTGCTGCTTCATACGGCTACTACTGCTGCTGCTGCTGCTGCTGCTCCATACTGCTACTGCGCTACTACTGCTGCTTCATTTACTTGCCATCTCTCTTCACTTGCATCTCTTTTACTGAAACACTGATCAGCTACGACAACATTCTACTGCGTGGCTTGATACAGGATTATTACTGTAATCTCTAAGGATGCTGCTACTGCTGCTGCTGCTGCTGCTGCTGCCGCGGCTTGATACAGGTTATCGCTGTTATTATCTGAGGTACTGCCGCTGCTGCTACCGCTACTGCTGCAACCCACTCTCTCAGAAGCTTATCCTGTTTCTAATGGATGCTGCCCGGCTGAGTATGCCGCGCCGCGCTGGCCTCGTACCTATGCTCCCAGGGTTGCTTCGGCGGTCATGCTTCATCTCTCTACTTAATCTTCTGATTCTATCAGATGCAGAGGTGTGTCAAAGTAAGCAGTACTGCAGGGCTGCTCTGTGCACCTTTTTAGTAAACTTTTAACAACTTTTTAGCGCGTTTTTATTGTTCAGTTTTTTAATATATCTGAGTGTTTTATCTTTTTAATTCAGTGGTTTCAGCAAATAGCACTTAGTCCCGACTGAAACCCACTAGTAGCACAGAGGCTAACACAAGCTAACGAGGACATGGAAAGTGACAATGAAATTGGCTCAAACATGCACAATATTAGTCGCCTCACCTTGGAGCTCCGTGAGAGCGACCGTGCCACCATTGCAGATCTACGAAAAGAAGTCCTTCGTCTCACCGCAGAGTTGAATGAGAAACAATCTCTAGTATCCAAACTTTTTGAAGTCGCTGGTGGGCAGCATTCACGGCTGATGTCACTGAGCGCTGCATATTGTGACACTGTCGTGTGGGAGAGATCCGTCAGCTCCGGACCCTCCTGTTCTACACCTAAGCGCCCGGTTCCGAATAACGAGCCCGCGGATTCCGAGGAGCCATCCTGCGCCGTGGCCCATGTCCTGAGTCTGGCAAACCGCTATGCAGCCCTCTCCACCGACATCCCGGCTCCCTCAGCAGAATCCCTGGACACTGCAGCGTACTCTACTGCTCGAGGATCCAAGTCCACTGCGAGGAAAACGCTCCTAAAGGAAGCAGTCCTCAGGCGAAAGAGCGGTCCACCAGCCATGTTGGCCTGTTCCCCTTCTTTGACCCCAGTGCAGCAGCCTCAGACTGGGGTAGCGAGCCATCATCACCACCGCTCACCTCCACCGGGTCAGCAGCAGCGCCCAGAGCCAGCCCCTCTCACCGCTCCAGCGTCCCCGAGCACACAGCGTGGGTCGCCTGTAGCTGAGAGTCAGCACCCCCGCTCCTCCTCTCCATGTGTTCAGCGGCGCTCAGGCTCCGGTCCTGCTTCGGGTGAACCCGCTGGTTCCGTCCACCGAGCTCCTTCTCCGAGGCCACTCTTCGCCCCGACCACTCTGATTATTGGAGATTCCATCGTGAGACACGTCCGCTTCTTTAACGCGGTCACTCGCTGTATTCCCGGAGCTACTGTACCAGACCTGCTCATACGTCTCCCTCCTCTGCTTCAGTCCCTGCCTGATACCGTTTCCAAGGTAGTCGTGCATGTGGGAATTAACGACATGAAACTTCAGCAGTCAGAAGTCACGAAGAAACATTTTATGGATCTGTTCCACCTCCTTCAATCCTCCGGACTATCTGTTTTTATTTCTGGTCCAATCCCGACTGTAAACAGAGGTGACTGCCTCTACAGTCGTGTTGTGGCGCTGCATATGTGGCTCCAGGCTACATGCAGCTCTTTTAACTTTGTCTTTGTGAATAACTTTGCCCTTTTCTGGAAACGTTACGAAGCCTATTGTCCAGACGGATTACACCCAAACAGATACGGTAGCAGCCTGTTGATGGATTACATACGTTATGTTGTTCAGCGTTCCCCGAGGGGGGCGTGACTGTTTACATCTGAGCCCCCTCGGACCCCACCGCACTCCCCCGCCTCCTGCTCACCAGCACCGGGTGAGTACAACGGTGCAAACACTGCTCCCTGTCCGTCTGGCAGTGCATTACCAGTCCAAACACTGAACTGTGCTGACTCCCTTCTGACTCTGGGAGCTAAAGAACAACAAGGGTTTTCACATTTTAGGCCAATTGAGACTGTGTGTGTTCCTCGCACCAGCTCAAAAATGTTTTTAAATTCTAAAAAACGAAATCAAAACAGGACAGCAGTTAGACGGTCCAACTCTGCAAATCTAATTTCTGTTCCCTGTAGAAATCAATCAACCACATTAATCGACTCTGACGTTATTTTTAAACTTGCTATGCTTAATGTCAGATCTCTATGTAACAAATCATTTTTAATTAATAATTTTATCACTTCTTATGATCTTGATTTTATGCTTATGGCTGAAACATGGCTCGACCAAAATACAGGAAATGCAGTTCTAATAGAAGCAACACCACCCAATTTTAAATTCGAATCCGAAATACGAGAAAACAAAAGGGGGGGAGGCATAGCTGCAGTTTTTAGAGAGCACTTTGTCTCCCATAGAATGCCCCTTGGAAATTTTTCATCGTTTGAGTATATTTCTTTTAAAATGGAACAAAAGCAATCTTCTACTCTTTTCATTGTCCTGTACAGGCCACCACAGTCATGTTGCGATTTTATTGACCATTTTACTGAACTACTTTCATTCGTGTGC